TGGGGCCACTTTCATTTGCCCTTATTTTGCTATTGTACTTCCTTGCTTTCTACGAATAGTCAAAAAACTTTGTTTTAATAACTTCACGTGTGGTAAATTTCACAATGGCTTTGCAAGAGTCCCGTAGGCTAGGGCACATATTTAAATGTAGTTTTTGATTTAATTTCACAGTTTTCACATTGTTCTTATTTTCTTCAGCTTAAAATATAGCTAAGCTTATTTAGCAGTTCACTTTTAGAAATACCAAATATTTAATTCCTTTTAAATATTTCTTTAATATTTTTTTTCCTCGTCGCCATTAACGTTATTAAAACACAAACGCTCACTTTGGTGTCTGTAAAATAACTCCACGTCTTAATATTTCTTTATTTGCAATAAACCTCTTTTAAGTAAAGCTTACATTTCATTTTATCTCTTAAAAATAGTCTTCTTCTTCTTACTCTAATTTCTCTTATTAGTACGTAGATTAATTATTGTTGTAAATATATAAATAAGTATGTATGTTTATATGTTTGTGTTATGTAGGAGTGAAGTATGTATGTTTATATATATGTTTGTGTTATGTATGAATGAAGTATGTATGTTTATATGTTTGTGTATGAATGAAGTATGTGCAAAGGAACATATGGGTTCTAATATTACAATATTCTGGCATTGCATATTTCACGGGGCAATACTTTGTTACCAGCTTATGAGATGGTAAAAAAATTTACCGGTTACAAGAATACACAGAATGCGAAAAGGGTTTAAAAATTGACAGGAACTTTATTTACCGGTTACAAACTTTTTATTACCAGCGCAGAATAGACCTGTAAATGTTAAATGCGGTGTCCGGAAAATGTATTTATGTCGTTTTTTGAAATTTTGAATAGTTAAACTAATTTTTATGTTAACGTAAGTCAAATATGTTCAAATCTAACTATGTTTGTATTGTTCTAAATAATTTTGCTTGTTACTAATAATGTTTCCGTTTTTGCAAATTAATAAACAGACTCCCTGAAGATGACGCGAAAATGCGTCGAAACGCGTAGGAGAAAAAAATAAACTTTGTTTTTATTTTCAACACACCGGCCGAAAAGCTCCAAATACAAATACACAAATAAATTTACAACATTGGCCCAAGAAAAGAGAATCATGAAAGTTTTTTAGTTTGCGCTCGCAGTTTTAAGAGGTTTTCTTTTAAAGGCACTGTCACACGATTGGGTATTTTCTCAAAAATTGGTGCAAATCGTGTCGCAATTGTTTTAATACCCAAATAATTTTCTTTATCCGAATCGCGAAAAATAATTTGTTAAAATTTTTCAATAGAAGTTCGCTGTATTGTATCAATCGTGTAACTAACAAAAAATTTACTTCCCGATTTTTTTTAATTAAAATATTATCAAAAAGCTTTTAGATCGGCCCAGCCTAAAATACACATGTACATTCCTACCTTGATGAGGATAAAATTGTTGCTGCTGTTGAATCGAGTGGTATTGATTTTGACCAATCCAATGTTGCTGATTNACGAAAAATAATTTGTTAAAATTTTTCAATAGAAGTTCGCTGTATTGTATCAATCGTGTAACTAACAAAAAATTGACTTCCCGATTTTTTTTTTATTTTGTACCAATAGCCCAATATAAAAAATTTACAAATCTCTACAAATGTACCAATCGTGTGACACTTCCTTAAGAGGTTGTGGAACAAGTCCATTGTGCATGGAGAAATAATACATTAATGTTTGTAATTCCTTTATTAATATCGCGTCAATAAATTGCGCCGGCTAAAGATATGACTTAATTTGGTTCTTATCTACTCGGAGCTAATTGTTATTTGATTAGAGTTAAGTCAACATAATGTCAAGATTAAAATATTATCAAAAAGCTTTTAGATCGGCCCAGCCTAAAATACACATGTACATTCCTACCTTGATGAGGATAAAATTGTTGTTGCTGTTGAATCGAGTGGTATTGATTTTGACCAATCCAATGTTGCTGATTTTGACCACTTAATTGTGATACTCCCTGGGACATGTTTCCCATAAAGCCAGTTTGATTATTTTGAATGTTACTAATATGTTGCAAGCTTCCTTGAGATTGTTGCTGCATCAGTACTCCAGAATTTTGTGGTACCACTGGATTCGAGCTAAATTGTTGATTATTTACCTTAAAATCAGATGCAAGAAAAATTAGGTTATTTTAGATATCAATAAAAAGTAGACAAAGAGTGTTGCAAAGCTTTGGAAAGAATTTCTGTCATCCCTTATCAAATTTGGCTTTGAGACAAACCGATTTCGGCTAAACTCAACACCGGAGTCAAACTATGCAACCCACATGTTTAAAAAAAATTCTACATCAAGAAAGAAAAATCAGAAGAATGCCCAAACAACGATTAAATATAATTGAAAATATGAAGATGAAGATATACAAACAATAAATCTTTGAGGGAAAAATAACAAACGAGTAATAGACCAAGAGCTCATGACCAAAAAACCCATCATACTTCAGATCGATTGAAGTTTTTTGTGAGCTTAGCTTGTTAATATATGTATAAATCAAGATCCGCAGGTCTGGCTGCTGAACAGCGGTCTTGACAATAAAGTTAGAACAACGAAAAGTTTATGACCCTAAAATCCTCTCAAAGTATTTAAGCTTTCAAACTAGGAAACTAACTGCAAAGTGTTATCTATCACTTATACTAGCAGCAATGCACTTTCAACATGGACTGGCAGTAGAAATTTCATCTAATATAATAATATAATACAATGGCGCTTACACATATGTTTGGTTTGCCATTGCCTGCCGAGCGGCGACCGCTGTTAAGAAAAAACCTTTTTTCAAAATTTTTTTTTGCGATGTTGCTTTGACCAGGGCTTGAACCCAGGCGTCGCGGAGTGGAAGCGCGCACTGCTTTCATCTATTTATAATATTACTAATGTGCTGTCAAAGGGATATCCCATCTGAAATACGTTGACTAATAGTTGCAACAATGGATTTTCACTATGGGCTGGCAGTACTTTAAGACCATAAGAATTGGCAGGCAACCTTGAATTTCTGGCTGACATATAAAAAAAATTCCTCGAAAACTTTATTTCAAAATTTTATTGTAGTTCATTGATTAATTCCTCAAAACTTTATTTCAAAATTTTATTGTAGTTGATTGATTAATCGTTATTAATGCATGTGTGTAAACTAGATGGTTCCATTTGAAAAGACAGTCTTAACTAATAGCCAAATATAAATTAAGTTTAGTAAGTAGCGTGGAGTACTAAAATTACATTTTTTACCTGTTTCCATGCAAATAGAGGAATATTAACAGGAAATCAACACCTGAGTGGAATATCGACCTATCTCGGCAGCCAGTTCGAAAACGCCCTATTTCCAAAAACTTTTCAAGAATGCTCTATCTCAGGCTTCGGTCCAAAACGCCCTATCTGAGCACATTTTCAATACATTTTCATTTGAGATAGAGCGTTTTTGAACCGAATTCAGAAATAGCGCCTTCTAAAACCAAGTTCTGGGATAGGGTGTTTTTCAATAAAATTCTGAAATAGGGCGTTTTTCAATCAAATTCTGAAGTAGTGTTCTTGAAAAGTTTTCTGATATAAGGCGTTTTCGAACTGGCTGCCTAGATAGGTCAATCTTCCATTCAGGTGTCAAAATACGACTACTATTTTCTTACTACGAAGATATGTGGGGCAGGCGTATAAAAAATTAATAAATATAATAAAAAAAATAAAGAATGTGCAAATTTACCAATTTTGAGTTATTGGGCTGACTTGATTAATCTTTGGATGTCCTATGTTATACCAAAAGCCAGAATACCATGCGTACATGGAAAGCACATATTTCACAATGCCAATTACCTGGATGCAGAGTTAAGTCTCGTAAAATCACTTCAAACTTGATTTCCCAAAATTTTAATTTGTATACATTCATGTTTCTGGCATGCGGGGAACGATATGTACTGCCGATTTGTTTTACAGAAATTATTTAAAAAGCAGACGTCTCGGTTGCTCAGCAAATCGGTTAATCGTTTCTGCAATTATTTCACATTGATTCTCTAAAACAGATTTTCGATGTATGCTTAAGATGTAAGAACTTAAAGGTAAATTTTATAAGAAATTAAACTGACAATTTATTGAAACTAGCAGTAACCCCCGAAATTCCAGTGAATGCGGTAAAAAAATACTTACTAAAATTAAAAAATTAAAGTTAAGCATATAATAAAACATGATATTCGTAAATATACTTCAGTATTTAGTTGCAGATTTATTTAAAGAACTTCATGAAAGACAATGAATATTGTACTGCTAGAGGCTTGGCGCCGTTTATGGTGAAAGGCATTTAGTATCACACTTTTAAACTAAAGCTTTCTTAACCCTTTGAGTATAAAATTTCAACCACTGATTCTAAAAATTTTTAAATATATATACCGGCAAATTTTGTAGCGTTCAGTTCAAAAATCACATCAACAAATATATAAATATGTCCTTTATAATGGTCAGTGATATCCTAGGTGTTTAAGAAAGAAAGTGATGTCAACTATTTTTATTTTTTGCTTTAATGAAATATATTTCAAAACTATGAATACCACTGTGCCACAAAAACAAAAAAGTTTCAGAACACACGAAAGAATCGATATACTGACGAAACTATGGGCCAAATATATTAAAACTGCGTTTTTAGCTTTCCACTCTGACGTCAGGATTTTTTTCGAAAGACTTTGAAATTTTACAGATATGATTAATTAAAAAAATATTTAAAAAAATCAGTGCAATGAAGAATAACAATATGGGCACCAAATGTAAGAGAAAATTCTGTTGAATTTAAAAACAATAAATTTTTTTGGTTTACAAGGACGAATAGGTATTGAAAATGCGCTTTTAATAAATTTTATCTTTTCAAGTTAATAAAGTTTGCAGGACGAAATTCGATGATGTGGTCGTTGCACATATATTAGTCCTCAAACAATAATTTGTTTCAAAAATAAATATTGCAAGGTTTCAAGGATTTTTAAGAACAAAATCTTTCAACGACATTTTCTATACCCATTCGTCCTTATGCACCAAAAAATTTATTCTGTTATAATTCTACAGATTTTTTTCTTATATTTGATCCCCTTATCTTTATACTACATTGCACTGAATTTTTTAAATAATTTATTTAAATAATCATTTTTTTATTTCAAAAGTCCTTTAAAAAAAATCCTGACCTCAGAGAGAAAAACAAGGTACGTCACTCAAATGAATGAATTTTTTTTTAATATCCGTAATGTTTTCGAGGTTTTGTTATTTTCCTATAAAAATACCGTTCAAGCTGTAACCACATAAATCACAGTTACAAACTGCACCCAAAATATAGGAAAATTCCACAAATTTTAATCAAAATTTAAACTTATTAATCCGATTCGTTAAACATTTTTGGGTATGCAATTTTAGTCTAATGAAGTGTAAGTTTCAAACGGCTAAAAATACCGCTAATTTCTGAGAATTTTTTTTGGTGACGGATTTTTGCACTTTTTCCATACAAGCATGAATTTCTAATGAAACAAAATATCGAAGACCTATAGCAACAAAATTTGAGAAAATCAACGCCATTTTTTGTAAATTACACTTGTTATATAAAAAAAAACCTCAAAAGTAGTCTCCAAAAAACAATTATCAAAAATCAGCGCGATTTTTTAGCTGGTTTAAACTTGCACTTGATTCGACTAAAATTGTATGGGCTAGAAAACTGCATACCGAGCCGATTAAAACTTATTAATCTTCCTACACATTCCAGCCGCAGGCAAATGCTTGGTACAATATTTATAGTTAAATTACTTACAGGCTCAATTTCAAGTCCGCCTTAATGCCTTAATGTTCCCTCCCGGGTATCAAGACACTTTTGTCCCCTATTTCTGAAAGCTTGTAAAACTAATTTTGAATTGCACGACCCACTCCGTTGCTTATGCCAGGATTTTAAATCGGGGGCGGGAATGGAGGGTAAAAACCTAACAGGAGCTAAAAGCCCTTCCACCAAAAGGCCTTTTTGAGAGTCAAGAGGTATGTCCCTCTTCATTCCTTTCTCCCTTTTTTTGTATTGGGTGACACAAATTGAAGGCCTTCTGCTTTCGCTACCCATTGTAGGGCTTTTGTAGGACGTATTTCAGAAGGCTCTTTCGAAGAGTTCTCATAAAAATGATTCTTTACTTAATAAAAATCATACTTCTTTAAGTACATACATACCTTTATTTAAGGTTCATATCAAACATGTTTTATTGCAATCTAAAATGCATACTTAGGTAAATTCATTTGTGATGTTGCAGCTTTCGCACATTTATTTAAACCAAACGCAAATCGATTTAACCTAAACGCAAATCGATTTAACCCAAACGCAAATTAAATTAATCCAAACGAAAATGAATTTCACCCAAACGAAAATTANAATTCGCACATTTATTTAAACCAAACGCAAATCGATTTAACCTAAACGCAAATCGATTTAACCCAAACGCAAATTAAATTAATCCAAACGAAAATGAATTTCACCCAAACGAAAATTAAATTTAAGCAAACACAAATTAATTTAAACCAAAAACTGTCAGTACAACTATCGATTAGTTACATGTAGTTTGGACCATGGTCCGTATAACCATCAAAATATGCTCTTAAACACTCAAAGGGCGCTAACGTTATTTCATGTACATGTACATACAGTATCGGTCATATCTATAGCACGCCATTTCAAAGTGATATTGTGTGCCACTTATGTTTATTTATTTATTTTTAAGAATTTTCAATTAAAATACAGTTCTTTCTCTAACAAACCCCATATAATCCCAAGTTTAAAAATTTGTTGAAAACTACAAAAAAGTGCAGCAAATTTTCACCTAAATTTCAAACTTTTTTCTCGGAAGTGTTTGAATTTTTCTGAATACATAGTTTTATAGCCCATTCAATTTTAGTCTGCAAATGTGCAAGTTTCAAGTGGTTAAAAGTTACCGTTGGTTTTTTAGATTTTTTTTCGCCAAAGGTGTTGCGGTTTTCTTCCATATACAAATAAATTGAGTTTATTCATTATATGGAAGCCAATGCGACAAAAAAAATTCTAAAAAATTAACGGTAATTCGTAGCCACTTGAAATTTACACATTATCAGACTAAAATTGCAGGGGCTAAAAAA